TTCCGCGAACCTTCGCTTTGATGTCGTCCGTCCAGAGCCATGCCTCCTTGTCAATTCTCCGCCGTCCAGGCTTCGTCGTGCCGAGTTTGGAGCGGGCGGCCTGGGTTATAGAATTAATAGCTTCGTGCCAGGTCTCCTGAACAGTTGTGACTTCAGGTAGTCGAATACGAGAAATCACAGCTGCCTCCCGCTCTTTTAGTCGCCACCATTTTATTCTCTCAGGACCGCATCGTTCTGCCTGCCTCGGTCTGGGAGCTACAAGTTTGAGCGTGCAGATCAGTGGGCGGTGCTGCGTGGCAACCGTTACAAACGGTACTACCTTAGTGTCCGTCACGAGTCCTTGGTCGCCATGTCTGATGAGCACTCCCGCTGTAGAACGTGATGAGATGGGAGTCACGCTTACGAAACTTCGTGTTCAGAATGACGAGATTATGGGACTCTGCAAACTCAAGGACTCGCTCACTATCGGCGTTCCGTGAACCGTAGCCGAATCCGCCATGACAAGCATAGCCGTCTCTTGCAGCGCCCACGTGTCCGTTCAAATCGCCGGCTACAATGATACCGTCTTGTGGTGGCACTTCAGCCGACTTCTCGTCCAGCAGAGCCCAGAACTCGTCCTTGAACTGCCCAGAGCATCCAGTTTGTGGGGCATATGCACAGAAGAAGTGGTACAGTCGTTGTTCAATAGCGACAACAATCTTCATTAAGCAGTCGTCGAAACGAACTACGCTCACAATCGAATCGAGGAATCGCTGAGACACGATCACGGCTACACCACTTGTAGTTTTCAGCCCGCCACAAAGAACGGCTTTGAAGCAGCGGCCTGAATCCTTCGACTTGCAACCAGCCCATCTCGTCTCTTGCACGGCACAGAGGTCGATCTTTCTGCGCTCTAGGGCTTCTGCTAACTCATACGAGCGTCCAGTCAACGTGCCAACGTTCAGCGTCGCAATGCGGTCTTTAACACCATTGCATGCCTCTCCATCAGTCCTTGCACGAGGACCTCTTCATATTTTCACATCGTGGGCTTGCGACTTGTGCGCGTCGGATCCCGCGCGCCAGCATTATCTCGAAATTCGTACAGATAGCAAATAGATGAGTGACATGGGTATTGTAAGACGGCGCGTCACGAAGGCCTGTCGCCATGCTTCTCGGTTATTGTCCGCGTTCTGCTCAGCCCGCGCAAAAGCGAGGACGGTCGGTGGCCACTTGACACGGAGTGTCACCTTCCTTGCCTACATTTCTCCGTACGGTCTTCCTAATTGCGTGATGAGACATGTGCCGACCTATATATCATCATCATATTATGTTGGGTGTATAAGTTTTTCCGGCACGAATGCTTTAAATATCTCAATACAACGCACTGAAGCATCTAGGTACTGCAACCTATTCACCCATTCAAAACTACACCTCATTCCCCAGCGCCTCAGCAGCATCTGCCGATTCATTACTTCCACCAGCAACGACGGGCCTGCGCGATTCGCCAAGAAGCTTCCACCACTACCGCCAATTCACCCTGTTGATGTTTCGCCACAAGGTAATCACTGTGCAGATTATAGCTGCAAATGCCAGCGTGTGGCGCCATGCAGTGAATATGTCTAGCTTCGGGAGCTGGCCACGCAGTACTCACTGTCTACACAAGGATCCTGACGACACCGCCTGCACTAACGCACAATACTCCCCTCCATCGCCAACCAACGAACCTCCGCCTCCACGATCACTACAAAGCGGCCAGCACCCCCTTCATCGCACCAACTTATATTTATCGCTTGTTCGTCCTGTTTGTTTGTGTGTATGTGTCTTTTTGTTTCTTGTTGTTTGTTTGTTTGTTTTTGTCTGTTTGTTTGCCTGTTGCGGAATAATTCGTTCGACCTGAAGAACGAGCTGGAGTCCTGTCAGGTCAAGGGAAATGGGTAGGCCATTGGGCGTAGAGATAAAGATCACACGTTGGCCTAGTGAGGAAGCCCGCCAAGTGGACGGATTCGCCGAAAGTTTGGGGTTCCGCAGAAAAATGTTCATAATTCGCGTCCGGAGCAGCTTAAAGTTGGGGAAAAAAGGGACTAAGGTTAGTAAGGAGTCGCCAGACTAACCGTGGCAGATACACCCTAAATGGGCGGGGCGTACTCAAGGTGGGCGGTGCTTCTCAAAAACTCAGTAACCCGGTTCGCAAGAAAGTTTAGAAGTCGCAAGAAACTCAGTGCAGAATGTAGAAATCTGGCGAGTGTGAAGTGTGTTGAGACCCGCCCACAGTGAGCGTAGCGTGCTCTTAATCGCAGGATACTCATTTCAAAAAATTGTAGCTCAGTTCCAGAGCACTCCAGACACCGAAAAAATGTATTAAGGTCAGCACAGGGTCGCCGGTGAGGATTTTGGGGCACAAACATTGCTCCGAGGCGGGCGGAGTCAGACAAAAATTCTGTAAGATACTTTCAGAGCACTCCAGCAGCGGAAAAAAAGTGGATTAAGGTCAGCACAGGGTGAGCCATCGAGAAATGTGGGGCATAAATTCTGTGGACTGGGCCAGCCCGAGGTGGGCGGAGCTAGACAAAAAAATCTTCAAAACGGTTTCAGAGCACTGCAAACACCGTCAACATGTAAGCAGAGATGTGTAGGACCTCGACTGTTGGATGTATGGCAAGAGTTGAGTGTGTCTGTGGTGTGTTGTAACCCGCTCCCAGTGGGCGAAGCGCACGACGTACTTACTCTTACTGAGCCAGCCTCGCGTATTCTGCCATACTCTTAACCACGGGTCGTCATAGATATTAGATTCCAGTCGGCTCGGCGGCTGATGCCAGCGCTCCTCCTCCTGTGATACGGCCCAAGTTGGCCGGACGGACACGGCTTCGCAACATATTCCTTCCCCAGCTATTCTCTCGCCTGTGCCCATAATCGACGCACTTTAGTACCACTCCATACTCAGTGAGAGTAAGTACGTCGTGCGCTCCGCCCACTAGGAGCGGGTTACAGCATACCACAGACACACTCAGCTCTTGCCATATACCCAACAGCTGAGGTCCTGCACATCTCTGCTTACACGTTAACGATGTCTGGACAGCTCTGAAACCGTTCTGCAGCCTTTTTCGTTTTGCTGGGCCCACCTCGGGCTGGCCCCGTCACCACATTCATGCCCCACATTTCTCAATGGGCGACCAGATCAATTTGTTCCGGTCTTGAAGTGCTCTGGTACCGTTTTACAGAGTTTTCGTCGACTCCGCCCACCTCAGAGCAGGCTCCGCCCACGTTGTTTGTGCCTCACGACCCTCACCGGCTACCCTCTGCTGACCTTAATCCACTTTTTTCTGGTGTCTGGAGTGCTCTGATCTGAGCCACAAAATTTTATAATGTGTATCCTGCGGTTAAAGGCGAGCTCCGCCCACTGTAAGCGGATCTCAACACACTTCGAGCGTGCCCAACACTCGCCAGATATTTACATTTTGCACTGAGTTTTTTGCGACCTCTAAACACTCTTGCGAAGCGGGCTACTGAGTTTTGTGAGAAGCGCCGCTCACCTTGGGTACGCCCTGCCCATTTTGGATGTGTCTCCCACAGTTAGTCTGGCAACTCCTTCCTAACCTCATTCCACTTTTTCCCCATCTTTGAGCTGCTCCGGAAGCGAATTATGAACATTTCTGTGCGGAACCCCAAACTTTCGGCGAGTGCCCCGCTCAATGTGAGAGGGGCTTCTCACAGATCAAGTGTGATTGTCATTTCTAGTCCCATGCCCTAACCATCCCCACCTTGACCCGACATCCTCAAGTCGTTTTTCAGGTCGGACCGAATTTAATCTGTATTGGTTTATTCACAACAAGCTGGAACAATACCCACAACAATCTAGACTAAAACTTTTATAACAGTCGCTTAAACTTAAATATCTACACTACTTCAATATTAGAAGACAAGCTTCTTGTCGTATCCATACTCAGCACACCATTCTTCTCCCACCAAACGTCAGGCTGAGTAATGAAGAATTCTGGTTTATCATAGCCTAGCTCCTCTGGAGTAGGGATTCCGAGCTCGGTGAGCACAGGTTTCACCTCATTAACAATGTAGGAATAGATGACTTCTCTGTTCTTTTTTGTTGATTTTTCATTCATTTCTGTAGCACACAAAGTTCAGCGATTGTGATAAGTTTCCACGACAGCATGCGAAGCACAAGCGTTGGCACAAGCCAACTACACATGACAAAAGCCAAACAAAGTGCAGGTGTTGCTTACTTGACACGAGACAACGACATGCCTATCGTTGAAACCCGTAGTCAGTGCGGAGTCAGCGAATGGTGTTCAGGATGGTCCTCAATGTATCCAGTTCCGCCACCCAAGCGTTCATGCAGCAGGCGCAAGCACTCGACTGACTAGCGGGTTTACACGATTTGTCGCTGTCCCACTGTCAAGGAACAACATCACCTGCGGACTTTTTTGGCTTTGTCAAGTTTGGTGTTGGCCATAGCGCTTGCTGCTTCGCATGGCTCGTAGGAAATTCTTCAGCAACATTGCTGAACTTGTTCTGAATAAATGAATGAAAGATCCAACGTTTTGCAGATTCATAGACGAAAAATGTCTACTGCAGCTGATGAAATGCTGAGAGAGACGCTGCCAAATCGTATTATTTGCGGTTTGCACCCATTTTACAGACAATTGATATGCTAAAGGACGAAGTCCCAGCAAATGCAAAAAATGGTTCGCGGTGGCGGGATCCGATCCTAGAACCCACATCCCAACACTTCTCCTGAGCCCGACCACGTATCCACTGGCGCCACTTGACCACACGAGGGAACAGGTGGCGTCCATTGCTTATGACCACTACGCATAAGGAATCCTGCTCGAAAATGGGCATATTTGAAGTGGTTTACGACATTCAAGAGAAGATCACCCTCAATACAACGTGTATTCGACGCTACAGCGTACTGGACTGCATTCTGGTGGTTTAAATGGCCCTTCCTTGGGAGAGGTATTTCGCTCCTTTTTTTGGCATACCGATAACCGCACAGCAAAAATGAACACCACTTTTGTAAACTATGTACGAGCCCCCACAAAATGCAAAAGACCGTTTTGAAAAAGGGACACGCCCTGAACGACCTTCCTGGTGAGGTGCTCTGATTCCAAAATTGTGTCAAGTCTAGGCCCAGTTCACCAGCGATAAGTTTATGAAATAGCAAAAGGTCGTTTCTTCGCCGTCAAAGTTGCAGTGTGGCTAGCTCAAAATTTTTGCTTCTGCCACTACTAAATGGGATTTGATCGTACATAAAATCGAGAACCCTTATCGTTAACTTCCGTGTAAAGCTATTTTGCAGTGCCTCTGGCATTTTGATAACCTTACTCTTAAATGGATTGAAAACAGATGTGCCATATTCCAGCACAGATCTCACGTATGCTTTGTAAGCTTTCAAAAGCATGGAAGCGTTCCTAGCTGTCAAGGCTCTGAAAGTTATGCATGACTGCAGTTCCTTTCCTAGCGATCACTTCACAATAAGCATCAAAGCTAAGATCTCTATCAATCAGGAACCCAAATCTCTGACTTGATCCACAGTTTTTGGGGTTGAATTTTTGATCTCATACGCATGTCGAGCATTCCGTTTGCCAAGATGTAGTACACTAGTTTTGGTTTCAGAAGGGGCAAATTCCAATCCTTGGACCACTGTTCAACTTTAAAGCTTTTTGGAGTTCTCTCGCGTCATCAATGCCAACAACAGAATGTTAAAGTTCCAAGTCATCCGCGAATGTACAACTTTGGACTCTTGTTTGTTCACTGTTTGGAATAAGGTCGAACGTGATGTTGAACAAGATGGGTGAAAGAACCTCGCCTTGAGGTACTCCACTATATGCCAGTCTAGGAACAGAAAAGGAGGGATTGATGCGAACTGAAAACTCTCATCCGGTTAGAAACGCTCTAATCTATCGATAATTCGTGGGGAATTCCTACTATTTTCATTTTATGTAACAGTTTTTCATGAGAAACTCGTCGAAAGCTTGGCAAAAATAGAGGTAGATGACATCGACTGCCTTACCCTCATCTAAGCATTTTGTCTAATGATTGAAAGCCTGAATCATGGCGGTTACCGTTGACTTCCCTTTTTGGAAGCCATGTTGCTTGGGTGATATAATGTTATGCTTTTAAAGATGATCAAGGATTCTTTTTTCAATATTTTTTCAAAAACTCTCGAGAAAATAGTGGTTATGCTGACCGGTCTAAAGTTTTGTGGTAAATTGTGGGAGGCTCCTTAGGGATGGGAGTAATGAATGATTGATTCCATCGACGTGGAACTTCCGCAATCATGAAACTCAAGTTGAAAATGTACTCAAGTGGACCAGCTACACAGCAGATTTTGTACAACCTGAGATTGAAGTGAGATTGTACGACCTGTCTGAGTGAAGTGCGTTCTAATACATGGCTTGAAGAAACTTATCTACAAAATGTTCGTCATGATTCTATTCGAAGTTCAGGACAACAATTAAGAATTTATCAGCTTTCAGGCCCTTGTAAACCGTATAGCGGAATCAATTGCTTAAAGCAGTGGAGCACATTAAAACCTGGCGCTAAAACCTGGCGCATCCTCCATTCTATATTATGCAAGATTAATCAAGAAAACCAACATTAATTAATAATGGAGGTTCTCCTACGATTTGAATTAGAATGCGTGCCGCATCCTAGAAAGGAATAGATCAACGGCGAAGACTTCATCTTTATCCTTTAAAAGTCGGCTCGCCGGCTAGCGCTGGCGCCCCTCCTTCTGATAAGCCTGGATGCGCCTGGCGGGCGCGGCTTCGCCGCGCGTACCTTCTTTCACATATTTCTAGACACAGCTGGCATCAGGCTTTTGTTCTGTACTCATGGTTAAAGCTTCTCGTCAGATACATCATCCCTGCTATTTTGACAATTACTGAGTATGGAGTGCTGCTAAAGTACGTCGAATGGGGCACAGGCGAGAGAATAGCTGGGGAAGGAATGCGCGGAAGCCGTGCTCGTCCGGCCAACTTGGGCTGTATCACAGGAAGAGGAGCGCTGGCATCAGCCGCCGAGCCGACTGGAATCTAATATCTATGACGACCGGTGGTTAGTATGGCAGAATATGCGCTAAAACTCAGAACGCTAAGAATAAGTACGTCGTACGCTCCGCCCAGTGGGAGCGGGTTACAACACACCACAGACACACTCAAATCTTGCCATATATCCAACAGTTGAGGTGCTGCACATCTCTGCTTATGTGTTTACGGTGTCTGGACGCTCTGAAACCGTTTTGCAGATTTTTTTCGTCTGATCCCGTCCACAACACTTATACCCCACATTTCTCAAAGGGCTATCAACTCAATTTGTTCCGGTCTTTGAAGTGCTCTGGGAAAGTTTAACAGAATTTTTGTTTAGCTCCGCCCACCTAGGAGCAGGCCCCTCTCAAAATCCTCACCGGTGACCCTGTGCTGACCTTAATCCACTTTTTTTCGGTGTCTGGAGTGCTCTGAAACTACTTTACAGAATTTTTGTCTGACTCCGCCCGCCTCGAAGCAGGCCCCGCTCACAATGTTTGTGCCCTACAATCCTCAATCGGCCCAGTCCTCGCTAACATTGATCCTCTTTTTTTCCGGCTTCTGGAGTGTTCTGGAACTGAGCTACAAACTTTTAAATTACCTTGCGATTAAGCGCAAGCTCCGCCCACTGTGGGCGGGTCTCAACACGCTTTGGGCGTGCTCCAACACGAGCCATGCAAACGGGACAACTTTGGGAACGGTGGACGCAATTGCACTAGTGACGCCCACCGCACTTGCTACGTAGTTGACGCCTAATTTAGGAAATTCTTAAGATTCTGTTGTTTTCTTCTCGCCTATTACTTTTTTTCTTCTGTTTCTCGTCTTTGCTTTCTGATTCATGTAGATCGAAGGTGTCCGGTTGTGAAAACGATTCTTTTGATTCAAAGCATTCATAAATCCTAGTTTTTAGACTGTATTCATGAAATTTTTTCAAAAAATGTATGAATAAGGATCTTCGCCGAACGGTTAAAGGCACATTCCGCAATAAAATAAGGCTATGACCTCTCAAATGTGTCGGACGATCCGGAAGGCGATTTCTGAGGCTGCACTACTTTCAAAATGTGAAAAACGGCAAGAACTCTGCTAGAAGCTCACCCCTTAGGCCCATGCCGACCCTCACCGGCTGCTAGCTACTAGCTAGTAGCCACTATGTTATCTTTCTCTATAAGATTTCGAACTGCTTCTTCTGCTGCTTTTCTCCGCTAATCAGATACGTAGCACTTTTTTGTGCCTATCTGAGTTCCGTTTCCCGCAATTTGCGGTCGCAAACTGTACCTTTAATGCGCGCGCGGCATGTCCTCAGCGGCCATACGAAATATTCCTGAACAGGTTAGCGGTTTTGTAATACAGTAGTATTTTTATCACTCTTTCTCACAGACCGATACTGCCCTGTCCTCAGCGCAAAGTTTTATTGTTGTAATTCCTAAAGAAGTTAAGGTAGCAACATATAGTGATAACTTTCTTTGTAGTGAGCTTATTGTGATCAGGAAGTGAACTGGATAGTCCTCCTTGTTAAGGTGCTTTTGAGGGGTGAGCAGACCGTTGTTTAACGTGCGTTGTTTTCCAGATTGTGGGAAGCGTTCACGATCGTTTGAACCGAGAAATCCACGAGAAAAAAGAAGAAAAACAAAACAGTGAAGGAGGCCGGAGTTGTTTTGTATCCACAACACCGAGTCCGTAATCTTTGTCCATGTCTATGGATATGAAATGCTTGATAAATGCTCATTTGTTTGAACTTTGAGCATCTTCAACACGTTCAAGTTGTGGCGTGATTTCTCCGGACAACCTAGTAGGGTAGAAGTTTTTGTCGGAGCGCTCCATGACTCAGCAATCCTCCTTTGAAAACCAGTCGAGAGCCACGTGGAATACAAAGTTTTCCAGTAGTCCAAGCTTTTGTGATCTAGATTGTTTTTTTCGCTTCCGATGCACATTTATCAACTTCTGAAACAGCAGGCGTGGTCAGTGCGTATGGTCCTGCACAAATTCAACCTTATTCACGCAAGCACACCAGTTTTGATATTATGTTTTCGAAAGTCGCGGTACCAGTAAGTGAACATTTGCAATAGATTTTCCCCTGATGGATCTCACTGACAACTAGTGAACACTACTGCCTAAAGAATGACTAGATCATTCACTTAGTCACTTTTTTTAATTTGTTGTTGTTACATGTTGGTGTTAGTGCTATTCTGATATTGTTGTTTTGCACGTTATTGGCTGAAAATGTAAAAGATTATAAGGCTGATGTTTATAATGAAGTGAATTTCAACATGAAAGTGTTTTTTGACTACTCATGCGAAAAAACAAACAAAATATTCTTGGGATTCGCCGGTAAGACAGTGTGCTGCACTTCCCAGAAATTTTCCTCAGAAAAAGTGCGAAAGGCGAAAAGAAAACAACAAAATCCTAGAAATTTTCTAAAATTAGGCGTCAGCTACGTAGCAAGTGCGGCAGGCGTCGCCGGTGCATTTGCGTCCAGCCGTTTCCAAAGTTGTCCCGCTTGCATAGCTCCTCCAACACTCGCTAGATGTTTACATTCTGTGTTGAGTTTTTGCGACTTCTAAACGCTCTTGCGAACCGGGTTACTGAGTTTTGTGCGAAGCGCCGCCCACCTCGTGTACGCCCCGCCCATTTTGGATGTGTCTCCCACAGTTAGTCTGGCAACTCCTTCCTAACCTCATTCCACTTTTTCCCCATCTTTGAGCTGCTCCGGAAGCAAATTATGAACATTTCTGTGCGGAACCCCAAACTTTACTAAACCCTAAACTTAGTGCCCCGCCCAATGTGAGAGAGGCCTCTCACAGATCAAGTGTGATTGTCATTTCTAGTCCCATGCCCTAACCATCCCCACCTTGACCCGACATCCTCAAGTCGTTCTTCAGGTCGGACCGAATTTAATCTGTATTGGTTTATTCACAACAAGCTGGAACAATACCCGCAACAATCTAGACTAAAACTTTTATAACAGTCGCTTAAACTTAAATATCTACACTACTTCAATATTAGAAGACAAGCTTCTTGTCGTATCCATACTCAGCACACCATTCTTCTCCCACCAAACGTCAGGCTGAGTAATGAAGAATTCTGGTTTATCATAGCCTAGCTCCTCTGGAGTAGGGATTCCAAGTTCGGTGAGCACAGGCTTCACCTCATTAACAATGTAGGAATAGATTGACTTTCTCTGTTCTTTTTTTGATCGTTGAATCTTAAATAGCTTCTAAGAATCTAACACATAAAGCCAGAACAATCTATTAAGTCATCCCATTCAAGTGCCGACAATATAGAGGAATGGCAGAAAAGCAAAGGGATAGAGCAGCGGGCTTACTATACCATTTGGAAGCTAGTACCTTAAAAGCTGTGTATCTGTATTTGGCGAACCTAGCTGCTGAAGACGTTCTCGGAGGAATTGAAGAGAAGCCCGAGTGCGTGACAATCGCGGTTTTCAAATCAGACGTCAATAAAAGCGAAAGTGCGCTGCCTCAAATTTGACACTGCGCCGGACCATAGTTGTGTGTAAGGGTGTTCTCGAAACTACACGGTGGAAGATCTGGTTCAGGAGCCGCGTACAAGGAAGAAAAGGAAAGAATTTGTTGTCGTGGGTGTCCCATAATATTCATCCTGCACACAAGAAAAACGATGAAGTCAGGCACGCTGAATATCCTGATCACAGAGCCTGGACCCCTTGTGCGAGCTTCCCCGCGAGTCTGACATCCCAGCTGCAACTGCTGCCCGAGTTATGTTCGCGATAAACTGAGGATGTCAAGAGGGTGGCGCATGGGTACCTAATTTTCTATAGAAGCACGAACGCAGTACCAATTCTATACCTCTAGCAGTAATGTTCTCAGCATGAGATGTCACTCACGACTGTAAAAACGCACCCTCGCACCCCGGCCCTAGCATGAAATATGGGTGGTCTCGGACCTCGAGTCGAAACTCACAAATCGTCAATTTTTCTTATGAATGCAGATGAGAAGCCGCGCCACACAACTACAAGAAGGCACCGTTGCTCGTCATAGTGCCCAGACCCCGAGTAACTGTGTGTGTAGATCAGTGCTGGACACAAACAATACTGAGACCCTGATGTTCAAACGTCCCATTCGCCGCGTCATAAACCATGCGATTACAAACTGTCCTATTCAGTAGAGAGTACTCTTTCGACGGCAGACTGCTACAATGTTTTGTCATTTGCCGAAATTGCAACAACAGCAATTTACTCACACTTGTTGAAAAATCGAAGGTACCAGAGGTCCAAAGGCCCTCGGGCACTGCGGAGCGGGTCATTAGTGAAGGAGGGATTTACTCATCCTAAAGCTAAAATATCACTTTTCTTATCTATTCTGCCTCTTTGTTTTATTCAAAAAAAAACCATCGCCACTTTAAATGGGATGACCTAATACTCGACGACAGGCACGTAGGCCGGCTTCAACGATCTTAGGATCAGTTATGACAGCGTAGTCGTGAAGTTCAGTAAGAGCTTTTCTTACAAGGGAACTCCAACAGGTCGATCCGACCATTTGCAATGTGATGTACATATATGGACGTGTCTTAAGCTGATTTCGAATCTGCCCTCCTTTTTTTGCGGAACGATTCTTTGAAGAAAATTACGGACCATTTAATCTTTGTTCTGTTGTACAAGTTGAGAAGGATAGTTGCTTACGACAAGCGGCGATGGCCCAGTGCATAAGCGCAGCGCTCAGAGACACGATTTCGCATGTTGGAATCCTTGACTCTTGGAATATTTTTGCTTTTGTTAAAGCACTTCATATCAGTCCCCAGAACACTACTGTTTGGCCGATTAACCTAAATCTCTGATTATTCAACAATAGAAGCGGCTATTGCTATATTTGTGGTTCCTTCTGGAAACTTTTATTGTGAGGATGACCGTTTCTACAGCTCGCATCGAGTAATGGGAATCTTATGGTTTAAGAGCACATGTGGTATTCTCACAAAACTACAGAGACAAAACGAGTTCTCAAAATTAGCACGGCAAACTACTATGCACACACGGTACAGTTACAGTTCTCCGAAAATCCAGGGGGGGAGCAGTTCTGAAGAGGTGTTTCGACCGCACCAGGATGTAGAAGTATCCAGTCGAGTACCGAGAATAGATAAGAAATCCTTAAATTTATGTGAGCTGGCCGCTCCAGGGTCCCCCATTTGGCGTTTCTCATAGTCGGCGCGTGGGGTTCCTCTGAAGATCATGAATCTGTTCTGCCACCCAACAAATGTGTGAAACTACGCAATATTCCACCAGATGCTACGTCTTTGATTCTACCTTCAGACGTGTACTGCTTCTCATCGTTTAAAGCTATGTACGAGCGCTTCACTTCTTATGTATTGGCCTTGATATGATTTTTTTCTATTCATGAGAGGGACTCCATTTTCCGTGTATTATCTCTTATATATTCTCAATTTTGCTCGCCTTGATTTGAAAACTTCTTATCTATTCTTGGTACTCGGCTGGATACTTTGATGTACATCCTGGTGGGTTCGAAACACCCCTTCAGTACTGCTTCCCCTCCGGATCTTCGGAGAACTGTAATGTACCGTGCAGAGTACTTTCATTTGCTCCGCTCATTTTAAGAACTCGTATTGTTTCTATCATTTTGTGGAAGTATACAACATGTGCTCTTATACCGTAAAATCTTCATTCCTCTATGTGAGCTCTAGAAACGGTCATCCACATAATAAAAGTTTTCGGAAGGAACCACAAATGGACCAATGACCGCTCCTATTGTCAAATAATCAGAGATAGGGTCAATTGGCCAAACAGAAGGTTCTGCGGACTGATATAAAGTGCTCTGAACAAAAGCAAAAATATACTAAGAGTCAAGGATTCCAACATGCAAAATCGTGTCTCTGAAGCGTTGTCCACTGAGCCATTGCCGCTTGCTGCAGGCAACTATCCTTCTCAACTTGTGCAACAGAGCAAAGGTTAAACTGCGAGGCCATACAGAGACTGCAATTCTCCCTCAAACTCGGGTAATTAAACCAATTTCCGGACAAACAAACAAAAGAACAAACTTACACACAAACAAACTTGAAGCAAGCAAGCAAAGAAACAAACAAACAGAAGAAGCAAATTATACACAGAGTGATTGTAGTTCAGTGCGCTATCGGCGGCCATCAAAGAGAAACGGTAGCGAAAACTAGCACAAGACTCTCCAGGGAATCGTCTCGCAAATTTCGGAGTTAGATCTGGCTTGAACGTGTGAGTGCGCCACACTAGTACGATGTACACCTCGTCGCTAGTAGCTTAATCAACCTGCTGACCTTTCCTTGTCACTGAGGGCTTCTGCACGCCCCTTTTGATTTTTTCGCTCTTTCTTGTACAGGTTTCTTCCACCTAATCATACCCCGCTCAATAATCCTCCTCCACCAGTCCCTATACTGATGTTGCAAAAGTCAGGGGCTTGGCTGTCACGTTGACGTCAATGAGTATGGGATTGGTTTATGGTATGGGAGAGGCGGGACCTCCCATACTCACTGGCGCTGAGTATAAAGCTACCTCCATACTTTGAGGCAGCGTCCACTAGAGTTTCGAGCTCCTCTAGCGTTGCGCGCGTCCAGCAGCGACAGCGACTGGGGAAGTATAGATATTGAGCTGGCGTCTGCCAGCGTCTCAAGCGTGCACCAGCGTCTACCAGCGTTCGTCAGCGCCTGGAGGGCGTAGGAAGTATAGGTATCAATCAGCGTGTGTCATCGTGTGCCAGCGTACAACAGCGCCTTCCAGCGTCCGGAAGAGGAGATTGTGGCGCGATAGGAGGGTGGCATGCAACTGGTACCTATCCTATCGCGCCATACTTTTTACCGGCAGTCTCTCACCCTCCTATCTCACCGTACTCTACCGACTGTCTGCTACCAAGCTATCGCTCCCTACTCTCGTCTGCCGGACTCTGGGGACGCTGGCAAATGCTGGGAGACACTGCTGCACGCTGGCAGACGCTGGATCAATATCTATACCTTCTCAGTCGCTGGCGCTGTTCGACACTCGAAACCCTAGTGAACGCTGCCGCAAAGTATAAACGCAATCTACTGACTGTAATCTGTCAGTTTTCGAAACGTTGGGCGCAGTTCCTATTCTTACGAAATGAGAGAAGCTAGAGAATGCAAGGAAATGTCGCTCGGCTTGGGCAGCGCGACGGCTCCATAGTGAGAACCATCCTTTGGGGGGGGGGCAGTTGGTATGAAACACTGTATGAATAGTTTAGTGGGGAGAAAACCCTGTATTTCGACAGAAGTTTAGAATTAGCTACAGCAAAATGAGACTCTTTGTGAAGCGAGTCTACAACTTCCAAAATATGTTCAATGTTGTTTACAGTGATAAGACGGGAAAGGACCTCGAATGGATCCCACTTGATCCACTAGTCAGAGAGATGAAATTGAAGAAAAAGCAACCGAATGAAAAGAAATTGGATTTGCTATCAGGTAACACCAATACTTTCCGATATTTTTAAAAAGAAGATTCGCAAATCAGAAATATTCTAATAAACCTCAGACCCCTCTGTCAAATCAACCACAACTTCTTCCTCCAGCACTACTTTTAAGTCGTTCCTTGAACTTATTATGACGTATTACAGAAATCTCCTTCTGATGTTTACTGTGAACATCAGTTGCCTTACTTAATCTTTAATCATCATTTCTTTGACCATCCACCTTTAGTGTTTCATTCTATTGTCAGTTCTCCCGGAGATGTGCTTTCCAAACCAACCCTTCTGAAATAACCATTGGTTCCAACTTCTAGGGTCCTGAATAAGGCAGCATTCATACTTTGCGACAGCAATGTCGATCGCCGCAATCATCGCTACGCGTCAGAGCGTGCCCCAACGTCATTACTCGGACCGCTCGCTTTGATAAATGAGGAAATCCAATTTGTAATAACTTTTTCTACTAGTGATGGCTACTACCTGAAAACTGATTACTTTCTCTACCTAAGAGGATCTGGAATATAAGGGAGGAGATAGCTTCACCTTTTGTTTAGGCCGGGATAAGTGCAACTTTATTTAATAAGTGAGCTTCTCTTTGTTTCTTTCGTTTTCATTGTTTCAATTTGTACAAGCGTCTTGAAACTTTCCTGGTGGCCAAACTTTCAAAACAACTGTTCAACTTTCAAAACCTTTATAGTTTACAAGTCGAGTTCACACAAGGAAAAAAAAGAAGCAGAAAAGAACGCACCTAAGAATCAAAGCACTAGTTCTTTTATGCAACTTCGAAGAGGAGGAAACTTCATAAGTTTATGTAGAAGCTCGAAGTGAAAAAAGAAACAGTGAGAAACTTAGGAACTACAAACTATTACTACTGAACTCAAAAAAAACTTCTTTTCGCTGAAACGTTGTCTATAGATGTTACTCAATGTCCTGGACACGAATATGAAATTTATTTTTGACGCTGGCGCCATTTGGTGCCATATATTTTCTTTCCAGAATTGAGAAAAACTTGCACATCAGGGTTGTCTGATGCCCTCATCGCGAGATATTTCTCCATACTAGCGCCACTAAGCGTTCTGCTGAGGCTTAACCTGGGAAAAGGAGTGATTCCGTTCGGGCCAGGCTCACAAGGGAAGGATATCAACTCGTCATGGCCATCAGGATGGAATGTATATTCCTAAAAGCATCTTCGGACGCTGATTTCAGATCTGACTTCCAAATCTGCTATACGATTTCGGGAGAGAAGTTACGGACCTTTTTTCCTAATGTGCTTGACCATTGCGGTGGGCCCTGCTCATACTCTGCGCTTGTGAACACCTCGTGACACATCGGAAACCGTGCCTCGATGGCGCAGGAGGTAGGTGAGCGAACTAATAGTAGTGGGGCGAATGTTCGATTCCTTGACGCGTTTCGTAGTTTTGCTTTTTCCTTAATCGCATGCTAAACAGTTGGAAAGTAGTTTCAGGTAACAGTTCGACCAACAGGGCCCCTTTCTGCTCCTTATTGAGCCCTGTTCAAATACTCGGATGATTTCCGAGAGGAATTGCACTCTCACCTGGCTCACTCAAGCAGGGAGCCAAAAACCTTCATATCTGCTTAAAGCACTTGAACCAAAAGTTTTGACCTCTTCATTGAACACAGCACTTGATGGTTGCATAACACAGGACTTCGCCATATGTAGTAGTTCTCTTCAGGCCACACTCATAACATCAGCCAAAAGCTCCCTCCTCCAATAACTGGGGTATGGTTTGCTCTACTTTGTTGCCATCACATCTAGTGCAAGAATGCTCAACCTGTGACAGCGGTCACTAACCCGGAAAGAGATCCTGCTAGAGGATTGGTTTGAAAGTTCTCATTGCTTGAGGGTTCACTTTTGTAAAAGTCCATAGTATAGTATGCGTGTGGTTCAAGTGAATGATGCCTAGCGTTCTACCGATCAAGCGCAAGACAGAGTCGCACATTTTCGTGCATGGAGTGCAGGTTGCGAAACTATTGCTACCGAGTCACACCTGCGCAGTTGGGAGAACGGCACTCTTCACCCTTCACTGCCCCAAGCATCCGGAATCGTGGCAACTTCTGACCGACTTTTCGCCCTTTGGACTGGCTTGGCTCAAACGTTGCTTCAAGGGGTAGCTTTACCTCCTCAATAAGAATAACATTCGCTTGGCCCGAAACCTCCTGACGCCCGCGCCACAGGCGGCGGTGATCTGGGGTATTTTGGCGCAGGCGCGTGTGGCGCGGGCTCAAGAGATTTCGTCTCAGCAGATGCTGTCTTGGAGAAAGCCAGCGACTCTCCAGCGTTTCACCAGCGTTTTGCTAGCGTTTGCAGCGGCAGGGGAGTAGAGACTATGGGAGAGCTGGAGGGTACAAAACACATCGATTGCGCGTCTCTCACTCGCCTCAGTCTCTACTATACACATGATTGCGCGTCTCTCACGGCCACATAGTCTCTACAATACACATTGGTTGCGCGTCTCTGACGGCCACATAGTCTCTACAATACACCTCGATTGCGCGTCTCTTACGGCCCCATAGTCTCTACTCCCCTGCCGCTGCAAACGCCAGCAAAACGCTAGTGAAGCTCTGGCGAAACGCTAGCGGCACGCTGGTGACGCTAGATCGATATCCATCCTCTCCCCGGCACTGCCGCTGGCGTACGCTGGAAGCGCTGCTACGCTGCCGCAAAGTATAAACACAGCCAAACAGTATCGTAGCAACCATCTCCATGAGCCAAGCGACTCAACACCAAACGCAAATACTGTAGGTCTCACGGAGCTGGACGGCGATCATAGACTTCTTTACTTTTTCTCTAACGGCAGAGGCACTGATGAAGGGATTGACCTTGTTTGTATAGCAACACTCAAGGGATATTTTACCTTGAATCTTTTGTTCGCATTGGAATTACTGAATCTTTGAGCCATGGGCAGTGACTTTTCGCCCTCACACTTTATGAATCAATCCGCGATGTGCTTTCGAAACTCAAGTTAACAGGGGTCCGAAGTGGTGACATTTCGTGAATCTCCAATAGGTCTGCGTTCTACATAGTGTAACACCGTAGTCAACTTCCTGCAGTCCTGTCCACATAACCCTTGATCACTGACGAGCAAAAGCACTGCCAAAAAGCTTGAGGTTTTAGAGGACCCCGCTCCCATCCGCTCGTCTCACATGTCTGGTAGGTTCTGCTTTGAATGAAGATTCCGCGAATCGTATGTCTGATATATTCGCAATCAGCCGGGTCGGTGTCAGGAGGAGTGGAAAGGACAAGCTCCTGACTGCTAATAGTGATCTGTTGGTGATCGACTCAGGAAGAAAACAAGCAATGATAGAGAACGCCGCGGGTGAGTTCATTCCCCCTCTTGACACTGCTCCAACTGATTGCGTCAACATGAACCGTAGGAAGAGGAGCCTAAAAAGAACAGGTGCTATTCGAACAGCTAGTGGAGTACAAGGTTGAGTAGAGGTCGAGTTAAAAAAGCCGTAAGTAAGACCTGCATAATTTTTAGCAATGGACGAGCATGTGGTGGTCTCTCACTATCGCACACGAAAAGAGCGAGGAAACCGATCACAACGGCAGCAGTTGCAGTTTCACGAGCGGAGTTTCCTGACAACAAAGTCGCCAGCGACCTTACCACGTACTTTCAGGCCGCGAAAGTGGCGCATGCTATGAGGATGCGGTCCAACATCACTTATACACTGGGTTCGTCCTGTTTAGTGTTCTGTTCTGGTTAAGTTTTGTTCCGTTCAAATTCAATGTTAAAGTTAAAAAGGACCATCGCTGGATTCGACGGGCGACTCGATCCCGCATGTCCCGCTGGGGCAGCGTTCTGACTTGTCGCGCTACAACTGTACCAGACCCCATCTTCCCTTTATGCTCTTTTTCACTGTTTCTCATTTCTACCTGGTTCTTAGCTCCTCTTTTTCACTTTA